GCGGCAAGCCCTTATTTTGGGTTTTTCATAACTTCGGGTTGTTGCTTCATTCATTGAGACAGTATTACACCTCGGACTTGAACTAGATCACGAATGACTCAACTAGCGCATGCCAAAGTCATTAAAGTTAGCGCTTTCAGGACACCGTTGCCCAATGAACAACCATCAATGTCATGCACATGCATCCGGTCACCTAGTTCGCCACTGAATATGAGCCGCGTCGATCGATAAAAGAGATTACAAAGTTACAGAACACTCTCAACCTTAAAAGTTCATATGTAGTGGGTAGAGTAAAGCCCAGTAAAAGATATGTGAAATGACGAGGAATTGAGGAAGGGGTTTTGAAATGCATGTTTATTTTTTGCAGCATAGTTAGGACGCGGTGAATTAGAAAAGTACATCAGGTGTCGCTGATTTTCCACTTGGCTATCACATACTTTACGTGGCATGCGAAGATGTTGAGACAGACACAAGAAATAAGCTGTGTCGCTTCCCCGATCTTCACCAGACAGGCTTTTGCGTCCACAGATGACACGATCTCCGATTGACCTGATCCAAGGCAGCCTTTTGGGTCCAATTCACTTCATAACATACATAAATAGTATGTGTGAGTGTTTCAAGGTAGGCAAGCCATTCTTATATGCGGATGACCTGAAGGTAGTATGCACATGCCTTAGCAGTGACCTAACCCTGACCATTAGCACTACGCAAGGGGAACTAAGATATGTTGGCAAATGGTGCGACATCTGGCGACTAGAACTTAACACAGAAAAATGTGGCTGGACATGCATAGGTGACTGTGGACTCGAAATAAACTTAGCTATAGCCGGGCATTCACTTCCAAAAATGGAGTCTACACAAGATCTAGGGCTGAGATATTCTCACATCCTAATCTTCTCTGAGCACGTATCCACACAAGTGTCGAAATCACGTAAACTGGTGGGTTTCTTATTACGGAACTTCTACGCCACCGAATCTGGAGTTTTTCTGTATAAAACATGTGTCCGACCACTGCTCGAATATTGTTCATTTATATACGGCAGTATACGGATTACGGATAGACTGAAAGTAGAAGGAGCGCAGAGATACTTTGCGATGAGAATACTCAACACGAATAAGGACGTAAAATATGCCACCAGGTGCAACATCCTAGGACTTGAACCACTACGGAAAAGAAGGCTCAGACTGAACCTGATACTGTTTTATAAGCTCCTTAACAGACATGTGGGTTAAGAAATGTAACTGCAACAGTAATAATTGGGCGTTTTAGAACAGTCACTAGGGAGAACCTCTCTGTGATAAAGTATGCTCAGATATGGAACGGTTTACCTAGGGAAGCACGGGAATCAAACACTGACTAGGCCTGTACGACTTCTTAACTTTGCATCACAGGACAGCACCACAGAAAGCACCACTAATACTGCTACTAGAACCACAGACATATTAGGAACTCTAAATATATAAACAATTTACAGTCTAGGAGGTGCAGAGGCTACACCTGCTTCGGCTGTTTTTTCTACCAAAATTTCAGGTGGTTGCAGCATGAAGATATCGTTAGACTATGAAGAAACTAAACTATGATGAAAACTTACCGAATGATCTGGAAATCTGAACGCTAAACGATCGAAGGGTTCAACTGGAATCCTCGAACATCCACATCACCAAGATAACCTTTAGTGATGACAACAGGACACAAATGGGGAATACAAGTTACTTATTCTTAACATTTCATTTTTTGAAAGTAATGAAACTATGCTCCCACGAAAATTACTGTCCAATAAGCAAGAATTACAAATCTCATTCACTCATTTGACCCTCTCATCATGTGAACATTTATCAATCCTCGAATTACTCAAGCTTCTGGGCGGTCATAATGGCATCGGAAATCTGTACAGACAGTATAACCCAGGAGATCAACTCACTTATTAACTTTAAAGTGAACTTATTCACAATAGTGCTATGCAACTGACTTTTCTAGTACTCCATCTAACAGTGAATATGCGTCCTTGGCAATGCTGCATACCTCAACGTGAACACTATGAGGAATGCACTGCCATTGGTACTGAGCTTCTTCAAATGCTTATTCCTTTCCACCACAATATTTAATTCTAGTGGCGCAAATCTATATTGCTGTGAATGATAACACCTGAATAGGTATTCACTTGGATTACATGATTATGTGGAAGCCTAAAGATTCCCGAAATTGTCATTGTGGGTTCCTATGTTCTCCAAAGCTATAAGCATAATGATCTATGGCAAAATTAACGTTTGTTTAGCGCAACTGAGAACTAAGGGAAATTCGGAATTTTACGCTACCTTGGTGCCACCACTGGTGAAAAAAGAAAGTACGACTGAAAACGATCTAAACTTTAACACTGTATACGCTGAAAATCGGTATTTTCCTGTTTGTTTCATAGCTTGTGGAATCTTCCGATGCTTTTTATCAAATTTACTGACCTCCCTCCCATACCACTCAGGTCCAGCACAATGCTGTAAATTTTCCAAGATATATCAGTGTGATGACGCCTGTAAACTGCCGTCTCTAATGTTAAACTACCGATATCAGAATAAAGTATTTTTGTCATCATTAAAAATGAGAACATATATAGGGGGCGGAGGAACTTTGTACACGGCGTTCGTTATAGCAAATACCAAATACCTCAGGTTCACAGATATTATGGGCTACGACCAACACAGAATATCATCGTGCAGAGAAAAAATCAGTGGGTGTGTTATCCTTTTTCCAACAAATTGAATAAAGCCAAGGTAACAGTGACAGAGCTTTTCTTGAATTACGAGAATAATGAGCAAAGGTGCATATAGCGGTCAAAATAATACACTTCACGGCCATCTTATTGTGTCTGATCCTGATTATCCTAGCGGCATACATAAACGCTCCTCGCAAATGGTCGTCCACTTCAGGCTAAAATGAAAGGATTTTAAAGGAACTTAGTTTCTACGAACTTTCACAGGGCCTTTCAGTCGGACATAAAACTTGCGAGGCTTCGGTTGGTGGAACTTTCATTTAATCAGATGCGCCACAAGACTATAATAAAGCGCACTCCAAAGGTGTGAGTCGCATTGCAATCCTTAGGAAAACTAGAGAACTTACCCTGTAGGTGCCTCCTGTAGTTTTATTCATTTTCGTCACAAACATTCGCTAGCAAGTGTTAGCTCGTAATCATCTTGAGATCTTATGACACCGCAACGTAATCAGCTGCTTTTCAGCCTTTACCTGGTAAGACCCGATCCGGCAAAATTTAAATGTGCTTAGCCACCAGACAGGTCCATCATGAGCTTGTGAGGCACATCGCGCGCCTGGTGAACAAACCAGGTTTCAGTGACATGATGAAATGTCATTCGTATATCTGCACCCTTCGGATTCTAAAAATCAGTGTTCTGTGATCGTTTGTGATGTGGCTCAAGGTCTATCCCAGTGAAACACAAGAAGTGAGCACCATTCACTCTGAGGTTTCAGCCATTCCTTCAGCCTTTCCTTGGTTGTTCCCAGTCCTCCCATGGAGTTACCGCCTTAGATATCATTCTACTTCTAAATGTCCCCTTTCCGTATGCTGCTGTGCAATGAGTCAAAGTGAAGCGATAAACGTTGCCGTAAGGTGACCTCCAATTTACCGCTTCATCCCACTGCCAAGTTGCAGCTGAAGCATGCTAAACTGCATGCGAATGGCAAGTTAAGAACTAAATGACGGATCACATTTTACGCCCCTTGCATAACAGCTTTGGCCTAGCCGCCTTTCGTGATAGTTGGTTCGACTTTTGCATCCGATTTCATATGTAGCTTTATCTCAAATTTGTCCATGTACACAGAGAACGAAATCCATCCAAAAAGGTTGCTCCAGGCGTAAGGGGCATCAAGAATACATTGTATGCATTTTGTACAATGGGCATCACATGCATCAGCTGCAGCAGTGTAAGCAACTCGATAACTGATTCCTCTTTTAACTATATTAATAAATATTTTATTCTCATGTCAGTGATTTAGCGTGAGAGAAGTCAGTTTGCAGGCATCATCACATTGACATGCGTTGAAAAATCTACAAGATTTGACGGATATTGAACAGCACAAAAGGAGAGGTCGTTAAAATCTGTCAAAAATGGCGGAAGCTCGTGCTAGTTATGAGACAAAGAAGAAAATGCCATTTTTCAGGATATGCAAGGTGTTGAAGTGATTATAAAAATTCTCAGTCTCATATGATGGATTTGCCATGAGAGATACCAGTTTACAAGCACCGTCAAATTGATACTAGTCGAAAGCTTACAAAAAGGCATTTGGTATTATATAATCCACATGTTAAGTTATTGATGTGCATGACCCTGTTAAAAACCTGCTGCGACGAGTGAGACGGGCGTGGGTTTTCCCCTCCTATCACACAGATAGGTCATGCCATTAGGAACAAAAGCGCGTAAAGTTCGAAGTTTGCCTCGTGACCAGCCGACCTTGCTAGTCCATTAGCGTAGTTCGTTATTTAGTAATATAATCATCCGTTCACTAGAAGGTTCTTCAGTTTTTAGCTTTGCTAACCACAAAGGATCTGTTTATACGATCAAGAGTACCAGCAAGTATCCACAGTTATATAACCAAGGTGAAAGTCTCAACCAATGCACTTCCAGTTCATTTTATGGATAAAGTTAACGTGGATTAAGTCCACCGGGAATACTTGTAGTAGTGGATGGAAGTGGGCGACGCAGCGGTTAATCGTCCAACTGGAAGTTGTTATGCATGGAATTCCGGCATCTTATTAGCGCAAGCAGCATCATTTGAAAGGTGTATACGATATCCAGGGGATAGACAAAATGAATCATGAATCAGTCGATGACTTCTTTTGTGAGATCGTTTGTCGATTACCAGAGAGAGGGAGGGAAAGAGAGAGATCTACAACATTTGAGTGCTCATACAATACATACTCATAGCACTCAACAGATCACCAGCCACAACATTTCTCCTTTACAACAAAGATGTGTCCAAACTAATCATCACTTTATCCCGGACCATTATTGATGCACAATGATTCTGATGGACCTTGACAATGTTGAGTTTGATTTGTCATAACAAATGCCTGTCTGATCTGTGATAAAATATTGTCGGAGTATGAGGATCTTGTTGCATTCATTTGGCCCAAAGGTTGCTCAATAAAAACTTTAAGATTCCTAGTAGTATGCTCTTGTTCATGAGGCGGTAAAAGTTTGACAAGTAAGTCCATGTCGTATAGAAATAGCCCACTAATTAAAATTGAATTCGTTCGTGCAACTATGAATAAATCTAATGAATAATTCGGCTAAACTTCAAGGATTACTTCAAAGTAACTCATCCTTTGGTAGCTGAAGACGCGTATCCACTTCACACAGTGGTCTAGTATAGCTGAATGCCTTTGAATTTTTCGTCTGTAAATTCGGCAAGATCGGTGGTGAGCATGACGTTTGAAGACATTGGATAAGCATCAGAAGTGGGGGATATGTGGGTAGATGACCTCGTTTACCATCGTGGATACCCATACGTTGAGCCTATTATTTGATAAATATTCCCAATGGTGGGATACGCCAATCACTTCTTGTGTACACACCCAATAGCTGTGCATCATAAACGCCAACAAGGCTGTTTACATTTAAATCTCAATTTACGCCGGTGAGTGTATTGCGGAATTTTAGAATTAGAACTTTCGCACGGGTTGCATCTGAGTCACAAATGAAACCACACTTTTTAAAGGTGGTAATAGCTGACTCAGGATACATACAGCCTCCGTTTTCCGTTTGGAATCGCGTGGTGTCACCATCGAACACTCATCCTTATCACTTTGATCTGAACCAAAATCATTTGTCGGTGATCCAACAATAAATCAAATAACGCTCTCGAAAACGTAGGTGAACGTTTTGGCGTACTTTAAAGTTCTCCATATTGTCATCAATAAATTCTCCATATACAATGAAGAAGGCAGTAAATAACATGTAGAGGCAGTAGGTGGACTGATAGCAAGCTGCATTCTATTCGGTTGAGTTGGTTCAAAAGACAAAGATGTCTCATCAGTCATAATTTGTCTGCCAGTAATCATTTGTGCTTCCTGATTAGTTGACAATAAGGCTGACACTGGTTGGCTGGTTGAAATATTAGTTTTACAGTCATTGGTTTGATTTTCACTAGGCAGTGACGAGCGGTTTGTTTCTGAAAATGATTGAAAGGGAGATATAGCACTTGTCCCTAGTTGGTTCTTTGTTTGATTAACTAATATTGAAGTTGGAGATGCGAAAGTTAGATTTAAGCCAGAACAAAACGTACTGCACACATCAGAAGTTTCAAGTGTCTGTAATTAAGTATCAGAGGTAGATCTTTGGTTCATCACGTGAGCAGCTGGTTCATTCCGTGTAGAACGATTTGGCAAACCATGATTGTTTGAAGATGTCTGTGAGTTTGGATAGTTTTCAGCACGCAAAGTTGCTTCACAAGGGAACTTCTTACTTCTCGGTTCACTTTTTACTTCTCAGAAATTGATGTTCTGTCCGTTTTTTCGAACCTGTTTCACACTTACATCACACTTTCGGTCTTTCAACTTGGCGGACTCACCAGTTCGTCCGCGTGGAAGGGATCTATGCTTTCGCCACGAGTCAAACGAGTCACTTTTATGTGAGCAGTTAGATGAAGACCGAGACGCCTGTGGTTTGGCAAGTACAACCTTTGTGGGTAGGGTGGCGGATCCATAGCCGGTGCCTGAGTGATTGTTCACATGCGAAAATACTGCCTTGCCATGTATGTGACAATGAGAAAAGGAACTCGACGGACTTTGTGCCAGGGCATACGGTATGAACGAAAACAATGGGGCTGACTAAAGCTAGACCAGCACTTAGAACCCACTGGCCGAATGTACGGTGGTGGCGGTTCCAGTGGAGCACCTGATATTGTTTGCGTGTTACCAAACGCCTTACCAGAATCACAAGTATTGTTGTTGTATTTCTCATACGGTAGCGAAGGTGCGGCATTTTTTGTTGTGAGTCAGCGGCAGGTGCGGGTGAAGACGTATGGCTTGACCGTGGATTGTTTGCATTCCAGCTAAAGACATCCTTGAATAGTTGTAACAAACGAATAAATGTTTTGTTTTCACGTTAAAAAAAACTTTAACATGAGAGAAGCCAGTTTACAGGCTCCATCACGTTGATACATCTCAAAATATCTACAAGACTTGAGCCCTGAGTGGTGCCGACGGAATGCCATTAAACTCAATTAAAAGCTACCGAAGGTCCTGCTAGTTATGAAACGAACGAGGAAATATTAGTTTACAGCGTACATAGTGTTAAAGTTTAGATAATAATAAATATTGTCTTCGTTTAACGGGTTTAACATGAGGGATACCAGTTTACAAGCACCGTCAAATTCATAATCTTAGAAAGTTTACGAGCTGGTGTCTAGTACTAAATAATTTGCATATCAAGACATAAAGGTGCACAGTCTTATTAAAACTCGCTGAAATTCATGAGGTGGATATGGATTTCCGTCTCCCATCTCACAGACAGGTTCCACTGTCAATACCAAAGGCGTGCAATGTTCAAAGTTTGCCTTACAAACAGCCGACGTTGTCAGTCCATTCGCATGGTTTGCTAATTAGTAACATTACAGTTTATTACTTGGAATGATCTTCAGTTTTTAGCTTCGCTGACCACAAAGGACCCATTTATACAATCTGGAGTATCAATAAAGTATCCACAGCTGAATAACCAACGTGCATGGCTATATCATTGCATTTCCAGGTCACCATGTTACGTTTAAAGATAATTTAGATTATTTCTGCTGGGAATACTTGTTGTATTGGATGAAAATAGATGTTGAAACAGTCAATAGTCCAGACGGCAATATTTATGTATGGACTGGGTATCTTATGTAGTAGCATAGGCGGCATCATTTGAGAAGTGTATTTGATGCATAGTAAGTTTCATATGAAAAGGCCTCCTGGTACAGAGTACTAGAAAATGTGTAGCGTGGAGCCATTGCAGGTAGGTGACGTCCTGAGCCAATATGTGGATTGGTCTCTAGTTTAATCATCTGTTCAGAATGTCTCTGCTACTAATACTGTTGGGAATGGTCAGACGGTTCGTCGCAAGAGAAATCGTGACCAGTTGGTGAGTCAATCTTGAAGATGGTCCAGAATTAGTGAAAGAGTGGGAGCAGTCCAATAATTATTAGCATCAACGAGCGGGTATTATTCCCATAAAGTAATCATGTTCAGACTGAATTTGAACACCAAATGTAAACTTGCAGCTGTTTCTGAAAATAGCAAAAGAAAGAAGAAGCGCTAGCATATATGGAGAGAGAAATTACTACGCCATCACATTTGGAGGAGACAGAAGTCCCAACTCTTTTTTCGATTAGTCCGACTTTATGTACATTTTCATGTATGTGTGAAGTCAAGTACATAGTCCTTCCATCATAAGGTTCTTAGGTTTTTTGGGGTGTGTGTGTGTGTGTGTACCGTAGTGGCTATGAGAGGCAGACAGTATTCTTTAAGTTCATTGTACGGAGAGGATCCGATATTCACAATCTTGTATGCAATCGTAAAGCCATCTGCATTAAAGGAACCGCAGGGCTTTAATAAAACCTAATCTTACATTTAAAGGTCTGAGTATGTTCACAGCGGAAGCAATGGCTTGACCATTGTTATGTGCCAATTGCTCCATTGTGCTTCGTATTTGTGGATACCGTATGAATGTCAAGAAATTTATAGTTATCCATGAAAAGAAAAAAATCGTTAAGTAGACGTCGAAGCCGAAATACAGACATGTGAGAGCGGACAAAATGTGGAAGCTCATTCCATAACTTGCCGTACTGTAACACAAAAGATTGTGACCTAAGTTTAAGGCGGTGCTTTTCTACAGGTGCAGTGCATTCACTATTGCGTAGACTATATGAGGACGCAGGCTTAAAAGCAGGAGCGCAACAGGCGTGAGCGCTCCTGTGACCCAAAATTAACTGGAATATAACGGTTAGGTCCGCTGAAATACCCTAAAGAGGGACTTACTAACTTCTGCTGGTGTCGAAAGTCCGGAGAATTAGGTTTCCTAACCGAACTACTATTGACTGCATTACAATATCCCTCAAATCGGAGAGGACAGGTGTAACGGATTAAGGTCAAAAAACAGGTGGTCGGGTTTTGAAATTCTTCACCAAAAATTTTCGTTCGTACCTATTACGCTGTAACTTGCACAGCAACTTTTATTTGATATAGAGTACTAGAAAACGTAGTGTAGAGCTACTGCAGGTAAGTCGTGTTCCGAGCCAGCAGGCAAATCGGTCCCTGGTTTAATCATATTTTCAGAATATTTGTGCTACTGTTGGGAAGGTTTAGGCGGTTCGTCACTTGGAGAATCCTGACCAGTGGGTGAGTTAATTGTCAAGATGCTCCAGAAACCTCGAAAAACTGGAAGCGGTCTGACAATTCTTGGGATCAAATGGCAGGTTGTATTTCCTCTAAATAGTTATAATCAGACTGAAATTCAGCACCAAGTGTCCTCATCGAGCTGTTGCTGCGAGTAGAAAAAAGAAAGAGGAAGCACGAGTAGATACGGTAAAAAGAATTGCCACACAGTCCAGCCTGAAAAAGAGAAACCTTCCTACACTTTTAGACCTATTCTAACTTTACTTAAATTTTATTGAATCCGTGTGTGATCAACCACATAGTTTTTCCATTATAAGGTTCCTAAAACTTTCCGTATCTTGGATGTATCGTAGTAGCTTTGAGAGGAAACCAGTGTGCATCAAGTTCATTATACTGAAGAGGGGAACCCCTGCTCACACCCTCGTAAGCAATCTTAAACCCGTCAGTGTAAGAGGAACTTGGGGACCGTACTAACTTCGTTCCATACATTTAGAGGTCGGAATACATCCTCATCGGCCCAGGACGCACAGATGGTGGCTAAATGTACGCTCGACTCATTGTTCGTTGGTGGTCTATAAAGCGAGGAGCTTAAAGGTGTTAACGAGTTTGCCTTACGGGTTTCTTCTGGAAGCCTACCTCAAATGTGCGAGAGCTTGCTGAGGAATAATTTATCTCACAGGCTCGTCGTACGACACTCAGTTTCAACTCATACTTTATGGTCACACATGTCATACGCAGACGTTATAATTAGCTTGACTTGCGGACCAGTGTAGGGCGGGTGCAGATGAGGGAACTTATAGTGAAACATGAGGTTCATTTTAAGTCTCGACTTCAAGAGAGGTTCT